GGCCCCTGCTGCGCCCACTCAGGCGCGGCGCCCGGCGCGCGGCAGACGCTGGACGAGATGGACTTCGAGAGGGGTAAGTTGGGGGTGGCTGAGGGGCGACGGGCATCTGGCCCCGGGTCACTGAGAGCCCGCCTGGGCCCAACACGAGCTCCGCCCCTGGAAACGACGACTGACGCGCAGGGAGGAAAGCGGAGCCCGCTGCTCCCCAGGTGTGACGCGGGGACTCCGGCCCGCTCGAGTGTCGGAGAGGTGCAGCTGGGGTCTGCGCCCACGGGGGATGGAGCTGCGAGGAGCTAACGTTTCCGAGCCGCTGCGTCGGCTCATGTGCTATATAGATGGAGTCAGTGTGACCCTCTAGGCCGGCGATGGTCTCCCGGAGAGGTAACACTTTTCGCACCTGCCTTCTTCTCTCCACCTCTCCCACTGCCCCTTAAGGGTCGCTCTGTCGTCTAGAGAGATTTAGGGGTTGGTACAACTGGGAGGGCGCTACAGGCCTCTAGGAGGTAGAAACCAGGGATGCTGCAGGCACAGAAACCTTGTCCTATGCAAAGTAGGATGCCTTCTCCTCCAGGTACACCTTGCATTCATCAGAGCAGTTTTTACAATGATGTCACAGGCACACCTCGGTGGTACTGCGGTTTGGTTCCAGACCACTATAAAAAGGAAGTATCTCAATAAAGCAACTGGTAATCCTTTTGCTGGTGGAGGGTCTTGCCTTCAGTTTGTAAAATAGGCAACACCCGTGAGGCACAATCAAGGGAAGTGAAATAAAATGAGGTGTGCTTTTGTTTGGTGTGCTTCTTCATTTATTATCTGTTTCGCACACGTGGGAAAGATCCTTAACTATTTTGTTGTGTGGACTTTTATTTCTTTATATCTTCTTTCTGGGTTCTCTTTTCCTGAAGTATATCCTTTAATGGGATTTTTCAGTGAGCATACTTCTTCACCACACACACACACTCATCCATCCCACCCCACTTTGAGTGGTCGGTTAGCCCATATAAAATTCTAGGTTGATAGTTATTTTACCTCCTCAATTCTTTGGAAATAGTATTCCTTTATCTTCTTGTACATGCTTCTGCTGTTAAGGATTCTGCTAATAATCTGATTGTAATTTTTTAGTGGGTGATGACCTTTTTCTTTTCAGTAACTTTTAAATGTTCTCTTTTTTCTTGACGCTCAGTCATTTCTCCAGGCTAGACTTGTTTCTGTTAATCCTCTTCTGGATTTAATACAACTTTCATCTGATAAATTACTGTTGTCTGTACTTCAGGATAATTCTCAAGTGTATTCTCTTTAAACATCCCCTCTCTCCTATTTTACCCAGTTTCTGGGTTGTGTTGGGTTGGTTGGTTTGTTTTTGAAACCTCTGTTAGACGTATTTTGGTAATTCTGTCATTCATGTTTCTTCACTTCTGATATTTTCCTTTCCATTCTGCATTCTAGGTGATTTCCAAATCACTAATTCTCTTTCAACTGGGTCTGCAGTACTGTTGAACCATCGATTTTACTTCAGTGATTCTACTTTTTAATTTATTAGCTTTTGTTACAGATCCACCCCCCCCCCAACATTCTGTTGATTTATGGATTCTATTCCTTCATCTCTGTGAACACATTAAATGTTCTTTTAAAATCTTTTAAATTGCACAGTTATGCCTAATTTTGGAAACATGCATTCCCCACTTATTCTGCAGGCAGTGGATTTGCAACTTCTAGTCTTTAATTCCACCAGGAGTCGTCTTTTGTAAGAGAGTCTGCACATGCCTTTGCTGGCTCCTGGAGGCAGCCTTATAGGGCATTTTAAAAAGTTGTCTCTGAGGCCTGGCCCTTATAGGGTTCATTTGTCTGGATCAATTTTTATGATAGATTCTTCGCTTGAGGTCGGCTCCCTGAGGGTAATGTAGATAGAATATAGGTGCCACACCTTTAAGCTGCATAGGTGCAGGGCATCTGATTCTTTAGGTTTCTTCTGTCTTTGTCATCTTCTCACACCTATTCAAATGGTGCCATTTCTCATTTCCTTTAGGTTTCTGTTCAGATGTCACCTTAGCAGAGATGCCATCACTGACCACTGCCCATACCCCTTCTCTACTTTATTTTTCTTCATAGCACTTGGCATCACATGACTTGTTTTGTATATATGTATATATTTTTTTTCTTTGTTTATGTCCTTTAATTAGAATGTAAGCTCCAAAAGAATAAAAAAAAAAATTTGAAGGGGGGGTGTCTTTTATTCTCTGCTGACACTTAGTACCCACAACAGTGCCAGATGCAAAGACAGTATTCAGTAAATATTTGCCGAGTGAGTGAAGTGCTTGGGCATGGCGGTTGCTTCCTACTGCACGTCCCAGCTTTGTGCACACGGCCTTGCTCTATGTAGTTCCCTCCCATGCATGGAGCCTGCAGCCTCTGCTTCAGACCCTGCTCAGCCGTTTGAGTCAACCCCCCTGGGGTGTGTGTCCAGTTCCGAGGACTCTTTGGATCCTGTAGGCTCAGTCAGTGCCTGCTCACCATTTAGCTGTGGTTTTTACCTCGTTCTGTCACCTGGCAGTGTCCTTTTCTTGCTTTTGAATTTGACTGTATATCCAAACATTTTAAACATTACCCAACATTTGTGTATTTGCAGTGGGAAGAGATTTCTGTGTCTGCCCCATTCTCCTGCCTTGGTCAGACAAGCCCCTTGTCTGTCTGGTTCACAGCTGTGTCACCAGTGCCTAGGACAATCCTTGGCATAGAGGAGGTACACGGTTAATATTTGTTAAACGAAGGAATTCCCCATTTTGTGGATGAGAAAATGGAGGTCAAGAAGTAAAGGAAAGTCAAATTTCCAAGTTGGTCAGCATCATGGGTACTTGGACTGTCTTTCCATAGGAATCTGGTCGGCAGCCCTGAACGGGGACCTGGGTCGCGTGAGATATTTAATCCAGAAGGCGGCAGACCCTAGCCAGCCTGACTCGGCTGGCTACACCGCTCTGGTGAGCTGGGAGTGGCACAGGTCTAAGAGGGATTGGGGTTTACCTTTGCCTTCTCTCTCCTTTTTTTCTCTCTCTGCAGCATTTCTGTTTTAAGTGTCATTTTAACCTCGTTTTTTTAATCAGTATAAGTGCTTTACATCAATTATTTAATTTCATTTTCATAATCTGTGAGGTAGAAATGATTGAGGAAACTAATGCTAGAAATGAAGATGCTTGCCCACGTCACCAAGCTGATAGAGGTGGCCCCTGGAGGGTTCAGGCCTCTCACTCTAGGGCCCTATTCTCCACTCCCCACCCTTGTCTCCTGCCTGGTTCTGCTGTCTGACTTCAGTCTCTGTCACCTGCAGCACTACGCCAGCCGCAATGGGCACTATGCTGTGTGCCAGTTCCTGCTGGAAAATGGGGCCAAGTGTGATGCCCAGACCCATGGGGGTGCCACTGCCCTGCACCGGGCCAGCTACTGTGGGCATACTGACATCGCACGTCTTCTGCTGTCACATGGGTCCAACCCCAGGCTGGTAGATGATGATGGCATGACTAGTTTACATAAGGTATGTCCCCTCTCCCTTCAAAGACTTGTTTTTTGTCATTATAAAAGTTATAACATGTTCACCATAGGAAATATGGGGAAACAGAAAAGCATAAAGTAGAAAATTAAAACCATTTGTAATCTCAGTACTCACCTCTCATCACTTTAGTGATTAATGTGTAATTTTTCCGGGATTTTCCTGCGCATGTAAATTGGAATGAAATGCATAGTCATTTTTTTCCCTTAGCGATGTGTCGTGAATGTTTTTCCATGTAATTGTTTATGAAACTTACACCTATTCTCACCTGTCCCTGTGGTTCACTCTCTGTACTGTAGCCAGAGCAATCATTTCATTAAGCTTTCCAACTAGAAACACCTACACGTGGTAAACAGTTTGAAAAGTACAAGATGACATACCGTAAAAATGAGTTTCCCTTCCACCCTGACTCTAGTCCTTCCATCTTCTAAGTCCCTCCCTTAAGGCATCCATTTTTACCCATATCTTAGGCATCTTTGAGAAGCGGCTTATGCAGATTTATGGCATATGTGTGTAAATTTGTTCCTCTCTTGCTGCACTTGATTTTCTCTCACAGTGATGGTTTTAAAAAGCAGTCTGATCCTCTTCCAGAGGCCTCGCCAAGTCCTTACGCTCATTTACTAGGCTTGGGATTAGCCCCTACCTACCTCTCCAGTTTATTTTTTTTTCTTTTTTTACTTATTTAAACAACCAGCAACATGATAAAGAATATTCTTGAATCATAGCTTCTGAAACAATTTTGGATGTGAATATTAAATTAGAAAAATTTAAGTATTTGTCTGCATAATTTAGCAACGGAACCTGTGGCTGATATTTTTTGCTATCCACTGAAAATCTGCTCTTTTTTTAAAAGTTATTTTTGTTTATAGCTGCTACACAGTATTACGTTAGTTCCAAGTGTACAGCATAGTGGTTGAGCTGTTTCATGTTAGAGCTGTGCCTTTCAAAAGGGCTCTCCAGCCGCAGACTAATCTACCTCACTAGCATGTGGCCTGGCCACGCAGCTAGTTCTCAGTTGTAGAAGGAAGACAAGACACACTGGTGAATTCTGTTTCCAGAGATAGCTTATAGCAGTCTTCCGACTCCACACATTCTGCTCCATTGCCCCTGCTGGTAACAGAAAGCTTGGGTGACAGATGCACAGCAAGTCACTGGACTCCAGAAGGACCTGACAGAAAGGTGCTTAGGTGGGAGCAGCATTCTTGACACCTAGTGGCAACAGAGATAAAGTTCTTGTTTTATTATTATTATTATAATTTTTACATCCCACTGATAAATAATACATGTTATTCTTTTTTTTTAATGGGCAATGGGAGTGGGGATAACACTTTGTATTGGTATTTAGACACTAGTAGATACATTTTATAATGCATGATACCTCTTAGAGGAGGTGTATAAAATAGCCAGCATAGAGGCAGAGAATGGAGTGGCCGGTGGTTGCCAGAGACTGTGGGGAGGGGAGATGGACAGCTACTGCCAAGTGGGAGTAAGTCTTGGTTGCAGATGGGTCATTGGAGAGTCCGGCTATCCCACACCGCATGTAGTCACAATGTTGTGCTGTACGCCTGAACACTTGTGAGGAAGGCGGGTCTCTGGCAGGTGTTCTTACCACAGTAAAGAGAATGGGGGAAAAGGCCACTTCAACAACTAACTTGATTTTTAGGAAGCCAGATATGTAAATATTTCATCGTCTAAGGATTTCGTGATATATTACATTCGTGTGCAGTTCAAGGGAAGATGTAATAAGTGTTTCCCTCCAGTTTATCTAGAGCTCTCGTTCCCTTGTCCTTTCCATGCAGGCCGTGCTAGTCTTTTTCAGTTTCCTGACACTACTACTCTGGCACTCCAGGACCATATAAATCAGGCTCATCCCCCAGACGCCTCTCCTCTCCTGTTTCTCATCTGGCTATTTCCGTCCTTCCTTCTAGACCTCAGCTTTTACGTCACACCCTCAGAGAGCCTTCCTGTTCTTCAGACATGAGTTCACCCAGCTGTATGCCTCAAAGCACCCTGCACTTGACTTTTCCTAAGTCTTTTCCCCCTTGAAATTCCCTGTTGGAGCATCTTTCACAAGAAACAGTGGGGACTTGACCTTATTAACCATTGTATCCCCAGCACTGAGCCAGGTGCTTGATGAACATGTGCTGAGTGAACAACTAGGTGTTTTGTTTGAAGGAGCCTTGCCAGTTGGAGAGGCAGACTGCTTATTTCTTAATGGTCTAAACTGGTATTGCTCAGGCGTTTTACTGTCACAAATCACATGGTGGGTGTACAGGTAGGACACTGCTGTGGATATACCTGGCATCCATATGGCTTGCAGCATATTCTTTTATTTTTAATTTTTGAATAAAAATTATATTTTTATTTTAGTTTCAGGTGTTTAATATTATATTAGTTTCATGTGTACAACATAGCAGTTAGACATTTACATAATTTACGAAGTGATCACCCCTATAAATCTAGTACCCACCTGACACCATACATAGTTATTACAATATTGATTATATTCCCTATGCTGTAGTTTACATTCCCATGACTATTTTTATAATTTCCAATTTGTACTTCTTAATCCCTTCACCTTTTTCACCCACTTTCCCAGCCCCACTCCCATCTGGCAACCATCAGTTTGTTGTCTGTATCTATGAGTTTCTGTTCTGTTTGTTCATACATTTTGTTTTTTAAATTCTACATATAAGTGAGATCATATGGTATTTGTCTTTCTCCAACTTATTTCACTTAACATAATACCCTCTAGGTCATCCATGAAACCATGAGAAGGTTTCATTCTTTTATATGGCTGAATAATATTTCATTATCTATATGTACCACATCTTTATCCATTCATCTGTGGATGGGCACTTAGGTTGCTTCCATGTCTTGGCTAATGTAAGTAATGCTGCCATGAACACAGGGATGCACATGTCTTTTCAACTTACTGTTTTTTCTTCAGATAAATACCCAGAAGTGGTATTGCTGGGACATATGGTAGTCCTATTTTTAATTTTTTGAGGACTCTCCATTCTGTTTTCCATTGTGGCTGCACCAATTTACATTCCCACCAGCAGTGCACAAGGGTTCTCTTTTCTCTACATCCTCACCAACATTTGTTTTTGTTGATTTTTTTGAAGGTGTGAGGTAATATCTCATCATGTGGTTTTAATTTGCATTTCCCTGATGATTAATGATGTTAAGCATCTTTTCATATATCTATTGGCCATCTGTTTGTCCTCTTTGGAGAAATGTATTTTTACATCTTCTGCCTGTTTTTTGCTTAGATTTGTTTGTTTTATTGGTGTTAAGTTGTATGAGTTCCTTATGTATTTTGGATACTAATCTGTTATCGGATATATCATTTGTGAATATCTTCTCCCATTTAATAGGTTACCTTTTTGTTTTGTCAATGGTTTCCTTTGCTGTGCAAAAACTTTTTAGTTCAACGTAGTCTCATTTGATTTTTGCTTTTGTTGCCCTTGCCCAAAGAGACATATCAGAAAAAATATTACTAAGAGCAATGTCAGAGAATTTACTGCCTATATGCTTCTAGAATTTTTATGGTTTCAGGTCTTATATTTATAAGTCTTTAATCTATTCTGAGTTTATTTTTGTATATGGTATAAGAAAGTGGCCTAGTTTTTTTTGTTTTGTTTTGTTTTTTTGCCAGTTTTCCCAGCACCATTTGTTGAAAGACTGTCTTGACCCCATTGTATATATTCTTGCCTCCTTTGTGATAGATTAATTGACCGTGTGTGTGTGTTTCTTTCTGGGCTCTTTATTCTGTTCCATTGAGCTATGTGTCTCTTTTTGTGCCAATACCGTGCTTGTTTGATTACTATAGCTTTGTGTATAGTTTGATATCAGGTGGTGTGATACTTCTTGCTTTATCTTTCTCAAGATTTCTGTGGCTATACACATGCCATTGGTATTTTAATAGGAATTGCATTGAATCTGTATATTGCTTTAGGTAGTAAGGACATTTTAACAATATTAATTCTTCTAATCCATGAGCAAGCTATATCTTTTCATTTATTTGTATCTTCTTCAGCTTTTTTTATTCAGTGTCTTATAGTTTTCATAGTACAGGTCTTTCACCTCTTTCGTTAAAGTTATTTCTAGGTATTTTATGCTTTTTGATGCAATTGTAAACGGGATTGTTTTCTCAGTTTCTCCTTTGATCATTTGTTATTCTATAGGAACACAACAGATTTCCGTATATGGATTTTTGTATCCTGAAACTTTGCTGAATTCATTTATCTGTTCTAATAGTTTTTTGGTGGAGTATTTAGGGTTCTCTCTCTATATAGTATTATTTCATCCTCAAATAATGACAGTTTTACTTCCTTTCCAATTTGAATGCCTTTTATTTCTTTTTCTTGTCTGATTGCTACGACTAGGACTTTAATACTGTGTTGAATAGAAGTGATAGTGGGCATCCTTATTCTATTTCTGATCTTAGAGAAGAATCTTTCAACTTTTCACCACTGAATATGATGTTAGCTGTGGGTTTGTCATATGTGGCCTTTATTATATTAAGGTATGTTCCCTCTATACTCACTTTATTGAGGGTTTTTAATCATAAAGGGATGTCAAATTTTGTCAAATGCTTTTTCTGCATCTGTTGAGATGATCATATGTTTTTTTCCCTTCATTTTGTTGATATAATGTATCATGTTGATTGGGATGTTGAACCATCCTTGCATCTCTGGGATAAATCCCACTTGATCACGGTGTATCATCCTTTTAATATATTGTTGAATCTGGTTTGCTAATATTTCGTTGAGAATTTTTACATCTTATGTTCATCAATATTGGCCTGTAATTTTCTTTTTTTATAATGTATTTGTCTGGTTTTGGTATCAGGTAATGCTGGGTTTGTAGAATAAGCTTGGAAACATTCCATCCTCTTCAATTTTTTGAAATAGTTTAAGAAGAATAGGTATCGTTTCTTCTTTAAATGTTTGGTAGAATCACCTATGAAGCCGTCTGGTTCTAGACTTCTGGGAAGTTTTTTGATGGCTGCTTCAATTTTATTGCTAGTAGTCAGTTTGTTTAGATTTTCTATTTTTTTTCTGGTTCAGTCTTAGAAAGTTGTATGCATCTAGCAATGTATCCATTTCTTCTAGATTGTCTAGTTCATAGGCACATAATTGTTCATAGTATTCTTTAGTGATCCTTTGTATTTCTGTGTTGTCAGTTGTAACTTCTTTCACTTATAATGTTTATTTAGGCTTCTCTCTTTGTGAGTTTAGCTAAAAGGTCTGTCAGTTTTGTTTTATCTTTTCAAAGAACTAGCTCTTAGTTTCATTGATGTTTTCTATCATTTTTAAATCTTTATTTTGTGTATTTTCAACTGTGATCTTTATTATTTCCTTCTTTCTACTTACTCAGTTTTGTTTGTTCTTTATTTAGTTTCTTTAGGTATAAAGTTAGATTGTTTATTTGGGATTTTTCTTGTTTCTTGAGGTAGGCCTATATAGCTCTGAACTTCTCTCTTAGAACTGCTTTTGCTGCATCCTGTAAACTTTGGAAAGTTGTATTTTTTATTTGTCTCAAGGTAGTTTTTGATTTCCTGTTTGACATCCTCTTTGATCCACTGGTTGTTTAGTAATATGTTGTTTAGTCGCCGTGTATTTTTTGTTTTCCAGTTTTCTTGTAGTTAATATCTAGTTTCATGCCATCGTGATTGGTTAAGACTCTTGATATGATTTTAATTTTCTTGAATTTATTCACAATGTTGTCCCAATGGATTGTTTTGTGGTTTGTGCACTTGAAAAGAATGTGTATTCTGTGGTTTTTGGATGAAATGTTCTATAAATGTCTCAAGTTGATCTGATATAATGTGACATTTAAGGTACATTATTTTCATATTAATGTGACATTATTTCCATATTAATTTTCTGTGAGGATGAACTATCCATTGATGTAAGTGGAGTATTAAAATCCCCTACTAATATTGTATTGCTGTAGATTTCTCCCTTTATGTCCATTAATAATTGCTTTATATATATATATATATATATATGTGTGCACCTGTGTTACATATGTAGATAGATATTTACAATTGTTATACCCTTTTCTTGGATTGGCCCCTTTTTCATTATGTAATCTTCTTTTTTGTTGTTTTTTACATTTTTTGTTTTGAAATCTATTTTGTCTGAGTATTGCTACTCCAGCTTTATTTTCATTTTTTATTCGCATGAAATGTCTTTTCCCATACCTTCACTTTCACTCTGTATGTCAATTTGATGTGAAATGGGTCATGGCTTTTAATCCATTCAGCCACCCTATGTCTTTTTATTAGAACATTTAATCCATTTACATGTAAATCATGATTGATAAGTATGTACGTTTACATTTTATTAATTGTTTTTTGGTTGGTTTTGTAGTCTCCTATTTCGTTCCTCTCTTGATCTCTTCCCTTGTGGTTTGCTGATTTCCTTTGTTCTTTTGTTTGGGTTCCTTTCTCTATATTTCGTGTATCTTTTATAGGTTTTTGATTTCTGGTTACCATGAGGTTTATGCATTTCATTCTATATTTATAGCCATTCATTTTAAGCTGATAGGCATTTATAGTCTCATATATTCTAAAAGGATAACATTTTTAACGCCTCCAAGCTTTATGTTTTAATGTCATATTTTAGGTCTTTTCATTTTGTGTATTTCCTAACTACTCATGGTTTTCATAGAGTTGGTACTTTTGCCTTTTTACTTTTATTGTAGCTTTTAAATGTCTGTGTTTATTAAGTATTTGCCTTTACTTGTAGATTTTTTTTTCCTTTCATATTGTTTTATTTCTGGTTATGGCCTTCCTTTTCTGTTTAAAGCAGACCCTTTAATATTTCTTGTAAAGCTGGTTTAATGTTGATGAGCTCCTTAAGTTTTTGCTTGTCTGGGAAACTCTTCATCTCTCACTTCAATTATGAATGATAACTTTGCCGGTGAAGTATTCTAGGTCGTGGGTTCCTTTCTTTCAATACTTTAAATATGTCCTGCCACTCTCTTCTGCCAAGCAGTCAGCCTTATGGGGTTTCCCTTGTATGTGACTTGTTTTCTTCTTGCTGCCTTTAAGATTGTCTCTTTAACTTTTGCTGTGTCTTGATGTGGGCCTCTTTAGGCTCACCTTGTTTAGGACTCTCGTGCTTCCTGGATCTGGGTGTCTGCTTCCTTCCCCAGGTTAGGGAAGTTTTCAGCCATTACTTCTTCAAATAAACTTTCTGCTCCTTTTTTTCCTCCTTCTGGGGTTCCTGTAATGTAAATATTTGTGCGCTTGATGTTGTCTCAGAGGTCCCTTAAACTGTATTCAATTTTTAAGTTCTTTTTTCTGTTTTGATTGTTTGATTTCCACTAGTCTGTCTTCCAGGTGGCTGATCCATTCTTTTGTGTTAACCTGTTGTCAATTCCTTCTATTGTATTTTTCATTTCAGTTATTGTATTCTTCAGCCCTGCCTGGTTCTTTGTTACACTTTCTAACTCTGTCAAAGTTCACCCCAAGTTCTTTTATTCTGCTCTGAAGTTCAGTGAGCATCCTTATGACCATTTCTTTGAATTCTTTATCAGGTAAATTCCTTATCTCCATTTCATTAGTGTTTTTTTCTGGGGATTTTTCTTGTTCATTTTCTCATTTTGTTTGATTTTCTATGTTTGTTAATATGAATTAGACAAAATAGCTATCTCTTGTAGTCCTGAAAATGTGGCCTTGTGTAGAAGCAACCTCTGTGCAGGCTGTGCGCACCAGGTGGGTTTGGCAGGCCAGTGGGAGTCATTCGGGTGCTGACCTGCCAGGCTGATGTGGCTCCGGGTGGGGAGGCCAGGTGTGTGTGGTGACACCTCTTGCTTGTTCCTTTTGTTCAGAGCCAAAATGGGCCCCGAATGGTGTGGCTGGGGACACGCTATGGCAACCTTGCAGGTAGTCCAGAGCGCCTGGATAGAGTCCCACTTGTCCTATGGAGGTGATGGAGGTGGAGGAGGACACAAACGATGGAGCTCACTGGCCTCTCCAAACCTGGAGAACTCCTGTAGATGATGGATGGCTCTTGCAGGTCCCCAACTTCTCTCACAGTTTCTCCATGACTGCCCTCTGTTGTCTCATGAGGAGCTGCTCTCTGTATGTGGGCATGTGTCTCAGTGTGCTCCATAGAGGGAAGCCCAGCATCCCTGCTGCTGCCATCTTGGACCTTTCTTTCTTTTTTAAAAAAGGAACTACTTTCAATCATTGGTACTTTCATTTGCAAAAATTACTTGGAGTGTATCTCGCAACTGCTTATAACAAACTACTGTCTGGATTGAGGCAACAGGACTGAGAGCCTGAGTCCGCACTCAAGAGGACCTGCTAGAAAAGATTCAGATTCAACTTTGAAATGGTGGTCGCTACTATTAATTTTGATACCTCTCAAAGGCCCCCATCATCCGCCAGTGTGTCCGTTGATCCCCAACCTTTTGGCACCAGGGACCAATGCTCCTATAAGAATCTAACACCTGATGAACTGAGGTGGAGCTGAGGCGGTGATGCTAGCACTGGGGAGTGGCTGCAAATACAGATGAAGCTCCACTTCCTCACCCGCCACTCATCTCTCCTGCTGTGCAGCACTATCAGTATGGTCCATGGCCCGGGGTTTGGGGACCCCTGATGTAAATCACTTAACTCTGTTATTTTTTGAGGATCATCTATCTCAAAAAAGATGAGAAAGCTGGGATCCTGGGTCCATTTTTCTCTGCTCCTCTGGAAGTTCCCACAGGGCAGGGACTGTGTCTGATGTCTCTTGTGCCCATGGTGCTTAGCACCCTGTAGGTGATCTGGATGTTTGTAAAAGATACTTAGAGACCCAGGGTTCTGTACTTGTCTTCAGTGTACAGCCTTGACAAAGAAGAAGGTCACTGAGCAAAGAACACAAGCTAGCCACCACAGTGGCACTAGAGTACTCCACCCTTCCATGTGTGAGCCAGTGAGGTTGGGTAGCAAGTAGGGGAATCCGCTCCAGCAGCCAGCATTTCCGTTTCCACGAGACCTTTGTTAGGACCAAGAGATCTGCAGAAGTGGAGCAAGAAAGCAGGGTCCAATCAGGTGTGGCTTTTGATTCAAGCCTCTCTCTCCACAGGCTGCTGAGAAGGGTCACATGGACATCTGCTCCCTCCTATTACAACACAGCCCAGCCCTGAAGGCCGTCCGAGATCGGAAGGCACGACTAGCATGTGACCTGCTACCCTGCAACAGTGACCTGCAGGACCTGCTAGCCAGCTGAATCACCACCCTTCTGCTTCAGGCTGCCATGCAAGGGTACACAGACGAGGTCTTCACACCCCTGGCTTGGTCAGCATTTATGGTGCAGGGTGGGAAACTGAGGCCCACACACCCATTTTGGCCACTGGAAGTAAGGGAGTATATTTGATGGGGCTGCAAGTGCTGAAGCCTGGACAGATGCTGCTGCTGCTCTAAATGAGTTCAGGTGGAACCATCTATCTGTTTGGAAAAAATAAAGTTCTATCCTTACCTCATCTCACGTACAAAATTAAATTTCGAGTAGATTTAAAGACCTAAATTAAAAAACACAAAATGATGTGAGTATTAGAAGAAGCTATGGAATATATGAAACAAAAGCTGCTTTCTAGCCGAGTGACCCTGGCGAAAGTCACTTTACCCATCTGTCCCCGTTTCCTCATCTGTAAAATGAGAAAGATTATATACTAGGCCCCTCCAAGGCATCGTGGGGATTAAATGGGTGGGTAGATGGCAAGCACCACAGAGGGTACCTAGCACGTTATGAGCAATGTGTCAGAGCGTTCATATCCTCAAAACCTGATCAGCACTTGTTTTTTAAACCATAATCTTTTTTATCAATTTGATAGATTTGAAAATGCTGTTGCTTTATTTTGCATTACTGATTATTAGTGAGGCTGAACACCTGTCTTCTGTGAACTTCCTGTTTATCCCCTTTTTCCTATTAAATTTTTTTTCTTTTTATTGATTTATAGTTTATCCTGGACAGTGATCCTATGTTTTATATATGTACATATATTTCTCCCCCCACTCCACTCTTTCATTTTGTCACTTGTCTTCGTTGGTATCTGTGGAAATTGGTATAGCCACTTGTAGATGGCAGTATCTATTAAAATTTAAGTGAACATGGCCAATAATTTGATTTTTCTGTAGCTACCTAGAGAAATATTCATCCATGTCAACAAAGATGGCTTTTCACAGAGGCGTTTACAAAGATGTGCATGGGATGTAATGTAAAAAAAAGCGGGGGAGCTGACCAGGGCCCCCCCGATAGCCCATGTCATGTGAGTGTGCTGTGATGGAATGGTCTGCTGATGGGGGAGCCTTCTGGGTAGTGGGTAGTGTGATGCCTCGTAAAGCATGTCTGTAGACATGTCTGCACAGAATTATAGATAAGGGCAGAGATGTAGCAAACTGTGCCCGTGGTTCCCTGGCCACTGTGGTGGAAGTGTTTAGGGGATCGTCTTGAGCTTTATTTGCTATGTTTGGATTTTTTTACAAGGAGTAATTTTTTTGTAAGTCAGTTAATACTAGTGAGTTTCATGTGGAAGAAACTTTTTTTTGCTGAGAATTTCAGATGAAACCTGTCCGGGAGCGTAGAGTTGGAGGCAGTGGTGGACAGTGGCCAGAGCTCACGTCAGACTTCTCCTGTCTGCTCACCTCACTGGAGTCTAGGCTGCCCTTCCCTTCCTTTAACCAAAGGCGAGAAGCCCTTTAACAAGACACCCCGAGGCGTGAGGACTGAGTTTGTTTAAAAAGCTCTGTCTCAGAATTGGCAAGTGCTTACCACACCAGCCAGCCAACTGTGGGGGAAGACTGTTGGCAGCCCTTAGGGCCCGGGGCTGTCCTTGACCCGCAGTCCCCTCTCATTTTGGTCATCTCTGCTCATATTGCTCCGATTCTGGAGTCTTATTTACTGGCTATCAGATTTCTTTTCAAAGGTCAAGGTAAAGTTCAAGGCACAGCTTTCTGAAGGGCATGTTGGCATCTTAGGAAGAATTAGGAAGATTGACTGTAGCTTGTGGCAGGTTGCTTTGTGATGGAATTAACGGTTAATATTGTGTGCTTGGCCTTGGAGCAGATGTCAGCCTGACTTTCCTCATGGAAGGGCACACCTCACGCCCAGGAGAGCACCTGGCAGAGACCCGCACATGGGTCATGGAGGGGTCTTCAAGGCCTGAGGTGCTCTCTACAGGCTGGACTTGGCCCCTGATGTAGGAGTTTAATACGCTGGCCCTCAGAGTGGTGAGGGAGAAATAGGGGCACCTGGGAAGGAAGCCACCAAGCATAGGGGGCAGCCTTGAAAGTGGCTGGTAGCTGGGGAGTCCATTGAAACGCAGTTCCTCCTGTGGGAGCTGTGAGGGTTCCTGGGGCGGAGGTTAGCCTCCTGGCCCTATCCTCCCAGTCCTCTAGGGATTAGGCTGGGCCTCTCGGGGTCTCAGGTGGCCTGACCTAAGCGACGTAGAGGCTCACACTTGACTCTTTCACAAATGGTGTCTAGACTTAGGAGGGTGGGAACTGTTCCCCCCTGAATGCAGGCCAGTACCCAGGCAGCGCTGGGCAGGTGGCGGGTGGCACACGTGCAGGATATGCATGTCTGAAGATGCACCTGACACTGCTCAGGACAGCCCCTCCTGCCCCTGTGGGCTGCAGGCCCATGCTGGTATTTTGGTGGGTGTGACAGAGCCACAGAGTCATCTGACCCAAGCAGGCATAAGCCTCTGTCCTGCCCTGCCTGTCTCCAGGAGACAGCTCTCCCATAAAAGGGCTCACAGTTCAGCTCCCCTCACTGGGGGAATTGAGAGCAGGGGGTACCATGGATGTTGTTAGTGTCCAGCAGTTGGTAAGGATGTGGGCAGATGGGCGGGAGGCTGGGCAGTCATCTGGGCTGAACAAGTTGGGCAGGCAGGTCCTGTGGTCTGGGATCCAGTTTTTTGGAGCAGAAATGCACGGTTCTTGTCGGTCTACCAGGTTCTTAATGCAGTGGTGGAAAAGGGGGTGACATGAGGGCACAAGAGGGAAACTAGGTGGGAAAGATGGTGGGTAGTGGTGACATGAAAATCTTGGAATTTAGGGATTTTTGTCCTGGACTGTGATGGCACAAGAAGAACAGGAAGTGGCAAGTTACCTTGGAAGGCACACGCGTGGCTGGGTCTAGGTTTAGCTCAACACCTGGGAAAGCTATTGCTCTGGTAATGGGCCAGGGGGTCTGGCTGCCTTTGTTGGGGAGGGAGAGGAAGGGCGCCTTTGAGTTCCCTGGGCATTGAAAGGAACGGTGTGACATCAGTGACACCTTGGGAAATGTTTTTGGTGAGGTGGGGCGTGGGAGGCCCAGGATGTCACAATGCCTGGCTGGTCCCAGCAGGTAGAGCCTCAGCAGGATGGGCTATAGGGCACAAGTGTTAGGTCACCAGCATTTGAAAGGGAACACGGTTCCATGGCCAGAGGCCCCAGGCTCTACCACTCTGGCATTTCAGCTTCTCTGCCCCACAGCACGCTCATTCCTCAGTGTTTCCAGCCCCTGGCATCCTTGGGTTGGGCCAGGGAGGGAGAGCAGAATGGAGTGTTGTGCGGCGGGTTCTACCCAAGCCTGGCTCTGTGAGGGCAGTGCTAGTTCCAAAAGAACAGCCTCCTGAAGAGCCAAGATTTGAACCAAGGGGTTCTGAATTTTACCCAGGAGGCATCTCTTCTGTCCCTTGAGCTTGGGGTCAGGTGGCAGTTGTGGCATGATCTGGTAGGAATGCAAGGTCAGCAACCCCTGAGAGAAGTTGAGGTGTCATATGTCCTGAACTCCCCTGGACATGGGCCCAGTGATATAAATAGATATGGGGTCATGTCCCCGACCCTGTGTCCTTACTGTCAGGAAAGGGAAGTGGCAGCTGCTGAGAGCCAGCAGCAACCTTGAGCATCAGGAAGCATGCCAACACCACTGGCCCAGAAGCTTTGAGAAGGGTCAGGTGGCTTTCAAACCACCAACCTGTGTCGGTCAGCTTTTGTCAGGACACCCACTGCACAGCTGCATTCTCTAATGTTCCTCCTGGTTTCTTCTTGATCCTTGCCCTGTCCCTCCAGGTAAGTGGAGTAAGAAAAAAAAGGAAGGAGTTGGGATGTGGCCATGGAGTCCCTGGACCCGGAGGCTGGCCCAGCGGCTGCAGGCAGGGGCCCCAGGAGGCCGAGGCCCGGGAGAGGCAGAAAGCAGAGGAGGAGAAGAGGCGGAGGGTGAGTGAGGGGCCGGGCAGGCGAGAGAGACGGGACTGGAACGAGCCTTCCCCCAGGCCCCGTGACCACAGCTAATGGCTGGTATGGTCTTTTCTACCTCCTGTCCAGCTTGAGAAATTTAATAGTTCCAGATTTAATCTGGAGAACCTGGCGTACTTGGAAAACTTGATTCAAAGACAAAGGGAAAAACGACTGAAGCGCAGAGTCCCCCCCAGGGCACCCGAGCCCTTGGTCAAGGTGGGTGTGGAGCTGGGCGATGGGGGCATTTGCCCAGGACTGGAGGTCCTGTCCTGGTGGGAGGCCAGAGTAGAGACTGATGGCCACACCCACACAGCAGCACCTGATGTCCACCCCAGAGACCTCCCACCCGCCCATATGTGGTCACTGGGGTGGTACCAGGCTCGGCTCAAATAGTTCTGAGGCTGGAGTCTGACATCAGGTTGGGGGTGCCCCTTCTGAGGCCATGAGGGAGGGTCTGTCCTGGGTCCTGGGGGTTGGCAGCAAAGTTCAGTGTTTCTTGGCTTGTGGACACGTCACCCCAATCGTTGCCTCCATGTTCACACAGCTTCCTCCCTGTGCATATCTCTCTCCAAATGTCCCCTTCCAGTAAGGACACCAGTCAGGTTAGGGCCCAGCCTATTCCAGTATGACCTCATCGTAACTAATTACAGCTACAGTGACTATTTCCAAACAAGCTCATGTTCTGAGGTCTAGAGTCAGGATTCAGCATGTAAATTTGGGGAGCACAAGCTAACCAATAACCCCTGCTCCCCCACCAATGCCTGTTGACTCAGAATCTCTTGGGAGTGGGTTTTTAAAAACCTATTTGTACAAGCTAACAGCATCTCTGTAGGGACACCATGGCTGGGCTGGTGAAGTAGTGACGGCCTGGAGGACTGCAGCTTGGGGAGTGATTTTACCTTGCCCTTAACTTACCCAGCCACAGCCCCAGGCCCAGCTAGAGCCCGTGGACCTGCAGACATTCCTGAAGGCAGCTGCTGAGAACCAAGAGGCTCTGATTGACAAATACCTGACAGATGGAGGGGACCCCAATGCCCATGACAAGGTAGGGTGGCAGGCCGATCAGACAGCAGCTCAGCAATAGGACACTGTCCTCAGCATGCTCTCCCTAACCTGCGGGCCCAGGGCTTTTCTACTCTATGGGGCGTGAGTTCCCAGGTGCCTCCTGAGCCTGGAGGGAGGGGCCCTTCGTGTGATGAGGGAGCCGGCAGCACCGGGACCGGGGTCAGGGGGTGAGACCTTGAGCTGTGGCCATGTTCCCTCTGCCTAACCAACCTCCCATCTCCACCACAAGCTGCACCGCTCAGCCTTGCACTGGGCCTGTCTGAAGGGTCATGGCCAGCTTGTGAATAAGCTGTTGGAGATGGGGGCTGCTGTGGACGCCCGTGACTTGGTAAGAACTGGGGAAGGCCTGTTCCCCTACCAGGCGCCCTGCCCAGTGTGCCGTGCGCCGCAGGGCTTTGGCGGTTTTGCTTTGCAGCTGGACAGAACACCTGTGTTTCTGGGCCTGCCGTGGAGGGCACCTGGACATCCTCAAACAGCTGCTTAACCAGGGGGCACAGATCAACTCCAGGGACAAGGTGAGGATACACCATGGGGGCTCTGTCAGGAGCAGGCGGCATCACTCGGGGCTGACACTGCTCCCAAAGGAAGCACAGCACTTTGAGGCTGGGCTTGGGCCTCTCCACTCAGGAGCCACGGCAGCTCTCACTCGCCCCTCAGATCTGGAGCACGCCGCTGCATATGGCCGTGCGCATGGGACACTGTGAGTGCCTGGAACACCTCATCGCATGTGGAGCCCGCATTGATGCACAGGACAAGGTAGGAGCTTGCTCTGGCAGTTCCAGCATGGCACAGTGACTATGAGGGAGCCTGAGCTCAGTGACAGCACCTGCTGACGCAACTCTTTCCAGGGCTGGGGAGGTTAGAAGGGTGATGTACTTTTAAAACATTTTTATGGTGACATTGGTTAACAAAATCCAGTAAGTTTCAGATATACAATTTAACAGTAAGGTGCATATATATGTATATTTATATACATGTATGTGTATATATATACACACACACATATATATATGTGTGTGTGTGTATACATATAGTTAATTTGCATTGTGTTCACTGCCCAACATCCCTTCTTGAAAGGAAGGAGACACAGCACTCCACAAGGCTGTGCGGCATGGCCACTACAGAGCCATGAAGGTGCTGCTGCTCTATGGGGCTCAGCTAGGCGTGCAGAACCAGGTGAGTCCCCAAGGCCCTGGGCTCTGCACCGGAGTGGCTGGGGTGCCTGAGAGGAGGACTAACCCAGCATCTTGTCCCCAGGCTTCTGTGACCCCAGTGCAGCTGGCACGAGACTGGCAGCAGAGCATCCGGGAGGCTCTGCAGGCCCATCTGGAACACCCTCGCACCTGGTGCTGACGGCCAGCCTGCAGGGCCACTCACAGCTACCATTCCGTCCCTGTGTCCTCACACCCCTCTGGTTCTGACCTTCAGCCTCCGGGGAGTGGCTTAGAGCCCTAGCCCCATCTGGCTTCACGTTTCAAGGGAAACCCACTTCCTGCAAGTCGTAAGCTAGGAAAGGCTGATGCAGAACCCTAGGAGGACAGGAAACAAGGTCCAGACGAGGGACAGTGGAGTAGCCTGGGAGCCCGGAATGGAGCTGAAGCCGTCATAAGCCCCCATCTAGGAACTGGCTTCTGCCCCTGCCTCCTCACAGGCATTCATTTCCTGTCGGGTAGTGACTCAGTTGACAGCTTACAGCGGCCATCCAGGCCACAGGCACAGGCATTTCTGGGACCGACGCCTTCAGGCGGGTTCTCAGGGACTCCCTATCAGCAGCAACCCTGGTGGCATCTGGAGTGGCTCTTGACAACCTTGGTCTCAGGGACTCTGGTGGTGGGTCTGGAGGGGGCTGCTCAGCGGGCCTGAGCCCCCACTACAGAAGCCCAGTATACACCTGGGTGCTGCAGGAACCCTGAGACTGAGGAGCAGGAGCCAATACTGCCTTTAGGGATCCCAGTGCCCACTGAGAACAGCTGTTCTTGTCAGCCAGCTGGTGGCTCTCCTTGTGGGAGAAGTGCTTTGGGGTGGTGGCCCATGACCCTGTGTTGCCTCAGGCACCAACGCCGCCCTGGACCTGGGGCTTGAGACCCCACCTGGACCTACAGCCGCCCCACAGCCACTGAACAGTGATGCGTTTAGGACCCAACTTCAGACAAGCTCTCCTAACAGATCCTTCTTTCTGTCCTTTATGCTACAAGTTGTGCTGGTGTAGACATGCTTCTGGCAGGGCTGGGTCCTTAAATGCCAGAAAGTGAAACTTAAAGAATTTGGCCTTAAACAGAGCCATAGGCTGAGAGATGGGCTACAGATGAAGCATTAGCCCCTCTCACATACATAAGGCACCTGTTGACGCCCATGTGTAGCAGTTACTTTTAGTCTAACATTGGTAGCCTTTTCAGGCCAAGAACAAGACTGGAATTTACTGTGTGAAAAAGCTAACTAGAGCCCCACACCTTCCCTTCCCACAGGCAGCCCCTGCCCTGTGGGGAGAGCAAGCGTTCACCCATAGGGCCATTGGAGAAATGGGTACTCTAGTCCATGGAGAAGACGACTCCCCATCTAGAAAGTGGGGACACAAAGTGACAAAAATACTTTTTATACACATCAATTTTAATTTTGTGTCAATTAAAATTGGTTGGTTATCCATCACAGCCAAGTCGTCTGGGAGGGGCCAGGCCACCGGGCCCAAGGCCTCGTCTTCCTCAGCAGCCAAGCGCAAGCCTGTTACCCTGCCACCTGACAGCAAAGTGGGCAGCGTGCAGTGGGCAGCCTAGGCACTTGGGCCCTGCACTCAAAGCATTTGCTCAGAGATGGGCAAGTTCAAAGAGCAGTGGTTCTCAGCCAGAAACACGGGAGAAAGTTTTAAAAGTCCTGATATACAGACAAGTCAGAATCCCTGGGGTGGGACCCAGGTGTCAACATTTTCATCCAGACCACAGGCTTGTCTATGTAGAAAAGCCTAAGGAATCTACAAAAACCACCAAGAGTAAGGGAGTTTAGTTTAGCAGGACCTCAGGATATAGAGCAGACGCACAAACTCTACATATTAGCAATGACTGTGTGAACACCAAATTTAAACAGCACCACTTACAACTGCTCTTGAAATGAAATACTCAGGTGTAAAGCTAACAAAGCATGTATGCTAGCCACTACAAAGTGCTGATGGGTGAAATCAATGAAATTAGATCAAACAAGAATGCAATCAAGCAAGACTTACCGTATTTATGGGCTGGAAGAGGCAATATAGCAAAGATGTGAGTTCTATGATAAACAGGTTTAATGCAGTTCATGCCAAAATCCCAGATTTTTTGAGAACATAGGTTAAGATTATTTTTAAATTTACAGCTAAAACAATTTTGAAAGAATAAAGAGTCTACCCAATTTAAAAATTTACTAAAGGCACACCTTAGTGACACTGGTTTCAGTTCCACATCTCAGCAATAAAGCAACACAACTCCTGTGAAGTGCAGTAAAACAAGGTCTGCCCGTGTACAGCTAAAGTAGTGACAGTGTGGTGCTGATAGAGGGATAGACATGAATCAGTGGAACAGATCACACAACCCAGAAACGAAAATATACCCGATTTTTGACAAAGGTGCAAAAGTTAAGTCAATGGAGGAACAAAATGGGTCTGGAGCAGCCAGACACCTATAGGCTAAAAAAAGAATGATGTCAGCATCATGGAGTGAGAAGGCCCCTTGGTTTCTCCTTTTAAAGTTACAAGTCAAATAGCTATAATTCAACAAAAGATTCTCTGCTTAACGCACAAATGTCTGAGAGCCCACAGTGAGACTTCTGAAGGTGAGTGTATGGCGGCAAGCAGGAAGGCATGACAGGACAGACAGGGCCGCAGATGTGGAATGGTGCCCGCCGTGGCCCCAGCTGACAGCAGCTGGGAAGTAAGGCTGCACTCCTCCCATGACAGCCTGGAGAGACAGAAGCAACATTCCTGAATAGCAGGTTCCAAGTGGACCAAACTAAGCTATGACACAATATGACAGTCTGGCAGCAACAGCCTAGCAGCCACCATTACTAACAAAGTAAAGCCACAGACTTGTGACCACCCCCCCACCCCCCACCTACCCAGGAGACACCTTAGTACAATATGGCTGGCACCTTCTGGTTATAAGGAGGCAGCATCAGGAACTCATAGGTCCAAAGTCCCATTGCCTGCCACATCTGTGTTACCATGGGATGGTACCCTGCAACCAAGGTGACCTGGACACAGGAGGACAGCCTCCTTGGGGACTACAGGGCATTTTCCATAACTGAGGCAACACTGCCCCACAGGTGCCAGTACAGCCAGTAGAGAAAACAAACCCTTGTGCTCTACCACCACCTACTGGAAAGCAAAAGACAGACGCCTACTCATCAACCTGCCATAAAAAGAGCTCAGCGCCTCATGCTCAGGCAGAGAAACAGCCCACGAAGCACCACAAATAACCATGGTAACAAAGTAGCTCAGCAAGAAAAGTCTCCAGAACTGAACTCGAAGGCATGGAAGGCTGCAATTTAAATGATAGAGAATTCAGACTGCACAAAAAAATTCCACGAGATACAAGAAAACTCAAAGGCAGTTCAGTGAGCTCAGGAATAAAAACAACAAACAAAAAGTACTTTACCAAAGAGATTGAAACTATAAAAAAGAACCAAACAAATTCTGGATCTGAAGAACTCAATAAATGACATGAAAAATGAATTAGAAAGCATTCATCCCAGATGGAAGAGAGAAGTAGCAAGCTCAAAAACAAATCTAAAAATTAGGGAGAGAGAACTGAGAGTTTAAAAAAATGAAAAAACTCTACAAGAACTACATGACTCCATCATAAAGAGCAGCATAAGCATAACAGGTATACCAGAAGACAGAAGCGAGGGAGGAGCGAACAGCATATGCAAACAACCAGTAAGAACTTACCAAACCTATAGAAAGAGCTGGGTCCTTGAATTCAAGAAGCTAACAGAAAACGTACTTATCTCAGTGCAAAAAGACCTTCTCTGAGACATGTTATATTAAACTGTCAAAAATTAATGACAAAGGAATTCTCAAGGCAGCCAAGGGGGTAAAAGGCTGTAACCTACAAAGGAAACCCCATTATCATCAGATTTTTCAGCAGAAACCTTACAAGACAGGAAAGTGGAATGAAGTATTTAAAATATTGAAAAAAAAAAAGAAACCACCAGCCAAGAATATACCCAGCAAAGTTCTTTAGGTATGAAAGAGAAATAAGGGCTTTTCCAGACATACAGAAGCTGAGAGGATTCACCACAAGACCTGCATCACAAAAGTGTTGAAAGGAGCTCATCTACCTGAGACAAAAAGGTAAAAGTGCACACAACTGTAAGATGACAGAAAGGAACGGGAAACAGCAACTCTGTCTCAGAATAGAATATTATAACACAAAGGTTAAAGAGAAAAAAACATTTTTTTAAAAGACTATGACTTCTGCAATTTGGAAATGAACACAGCATAAAAAAAGATAACTTGTAATAATAAAAACTGAGGAGAGGGTAAAAAGACTGAACTTGCACAAGTGAATGAAGATGCAGTCAGAAGAAAAAGGACTATAGTATGAAACCTTTTACATAAACCTAAAATGGTAACTGCAAAAATAAAAATCTAGAGCTGAGGCTTGTAACCAAAAAAAAAAAAGGAAACAAAAACATAAAAAACCACTAAACAGAAACACAAGATAAAAGAAACAATGGAGACACAGAGCAACCAGAAAACAAGATAAAAAGACAACAGTAAGTAAGCCCTCTTCTATCAATGTCGCCCTGAATGTAAATGGAATGAACTCACTAATCAAAAGGCACAGAGGAGCAGGATGGATTAAAAAACAAGACCCAACTAGATGCTGCTTCAGGAGATCCAACTCGGCTACAAAGACACAGGCTCAGAGTGAAGGGGAGGAAAATGACACTCCAAGTAAATAGCATTCAGAGAAAAGTGGGTATAGCCATACTTATATCAGACAAAATAGATTTCAAGATTAAAAAAAAAAAGATGAGAGACAAAGATGGGCATTTTATAATGATAAAGAGGACATAATGCTTATCAACATATACACACCCACCCTGGGAACACCAAAATACGTAAAGCAACTATAACTAAAGGGAGAAACTGACAAAAATATACTAATGAATAGTAGCAGACCCCACTGACAGCAATGGATAGATCACCCAGACAAAGTCCGTGAGGAGATATCAGCCTTAAACGACACAACAGACTAAATGGACCAAAATGACAAAATATACATTCTCTTTAAGTGCACTTGGAACATTCTCAAAGAGACCATATGTTTGGGCACAAAACTATTCTCAATAAATTTAAGAAGACTGAAATCACACCAAGCATATTTTCTGACCACAACTGTATAAAACTGGAAATTACAAGAAAGCTGGGAAAGCCACAAATATGTGAAGATTAAACAACATGCTCCTGAACAATGTTTGAGTAAAGAAGAAATAAAAGATCAAAAGATACAGAGACAAATGAAGGTGACAACACCGACATACCAAAACTTTGGTGATGCAGCAAAAGTGGAACTAAGACATTACAAGCCTACCTCAATAAACAAGAAAAATCTCAACCTAACATTACACTTTAAAGAACTAAACAAATGAAGCTCCTAGTAGAAGGAAGGAAATAATAAAAATTAAAGAAAAAATTTAACAAAGAACTGATTCTTTGAAAAGATAAAATTAAACCCCAAAAGACTAAGGAAAAAATAGAAAAAAAACAAATAAAATTAGAAATAAAAGAGAAGTTACAACGAACATGAGAAATACAAGAATACTATGAAAGGCTATACGCCACCAATTTGGATAACCTAGAAAAAATGGACAAATTCTTAGATATATATAACCTTCCTAGACTGAACCAGGAAGAATTAAAAAACCTAAATACACGGATCACTAATAAGGAAATGGAATCAGTAATCAAAAGCCTCCCGAAAAGCAAAAGTCCAGGACCAGACAACTTTACCAGTGAATTCTACCAAACATTCAGGAAAGATTTAATACCTGTTCTCAAACTTCCAAAAAACTGAAGAGTTTTAACACTTCCTAATTCATTTTATGATGCCAGCATTACCCTGATACCAAAATCAGGCAAGGGCAACACACACAGACAAAATTATAGGCCAATAACTCTAATGAACATAGATAAAAATCCTCAACAAAATACTAGCAAATTGAATACAACACATTAGAAGGATCATATATCATGACCAAGAGGGGTTCATTCCAGGGAAGGAAGTTTCAACATACACAATTCAATGTGATATACCACGTAAACAAAATAAAGGATATGCACACATATTAATAGATGCAGAAAAAGCATTTGACAAGATACAACATCCATGTATGATTAAAATGCTCAATAAAACAGGTATAGAAGAAAAGCACTTCAAACATAAAGGCCACTTTTGACAAAACCTTAGCTAACATCATAATAGTGAAAAACAAAGTTTTTTCTGAGATCAGACAAGGATGCTTGCTCTCACCATTGTTATTCAGTAGTATTGGAAGTTCTATCCAAAGCAATCAGGCAAGAAAAAGCTATAAAAGGCATCCAGATTGGAATAAAGAAGTAAAACTGTCACTATTTGCAGATGACATGATACCATATACAGAAACCCCTAAAGACTCAACCAAATGACTATTTTTATAAACAAAGTTGCAGGACACAAATCAATACCCACATGTGGACATCTGACTTATGAGAGGGCACTACAGTCTGTGGGGAAAGACACACACTTGGTGCGTGGAACTAGAATACCTGGTTATCTGGGAAAAAATAAAGGATACTGAAAGGATACTAAAGGACACATCAATTTCTGGTGTACTAGACATTTAAATGTGTGTGTGTATAGCTGGATAGATAACAGAGAATATCTTTATGACCATAGGATAGAGAGGAATTTACTGACACAAAACACCATAAAAGAAAATATTTGGTAAGTCTGACTACAGAAAAATTAAGAATGACTACTTACCAAAAGACACAATAAGAATGATAAGCTAAACAACAGAGAACTTTTTGGAACACATTTATCTTACAAGTGATTAGGATCCAAAATATATAAAGAATTCTTATGAATGAATAAGAAAAAATGGGAAAATGGCATGAACAGGCATCTCTCAGAAAACATGAAATTGCCCATCAACATATAAAAAGACTCAATCTCATTAGTAAACAGTATGATGCAAATTTTTAAAAAAAAGAACCTTAACCTAAATGTCATACCTTATACAAAAATTAAGTTAAAATTGATCATGGACTTAAATGTAAAATGTAAAACTACACAATTTTTAGAAAAAAACATAGGATATAATCTTTGGGATCTAGCACTAGGTAAAGAATTCTTAGAGATAACACTAAAAGCATAATCCATTAAAAAAAAAAAATCAGCAAACTGGACTTTTCCAAATTAAAAACTTTTGCTCTATAAAATACCCTGTTAAGAGGATGAGAAAATAAGCTACAGACTGGGAAAAAATATTCGTAAACCAAAAACTTGACAAAAGACAAGTACTTAGAATATATAAACTACTTTCAAAACTCAACAGTAAAAAAAAAAAAAAAAAAAAATC